CCTGGCAGTACTAGGGTCGTTGGTTCGAATCCCAGCCACGGCACCACCTGCCTGGAGTTTGAATGTTCTCCCTGTGCCTGCATGGGTTTCCTCCGGGTACTCCGGTTTCCTCCCACACTCCAAAGACATGCTGGTAGGTTAATTGGCTCCTGTCTAAATTGCCCTAATAAGTGTATGTATGAATGTAAGTTAGTGAACTTAGATTGTACGCCCCTTGAGGGTTAGGGACTGATGTGAATGTACAATATATACAGTCATGGCCGAAATTGTTGGCACCCTTGATATTTCTCCAGGAAATCATGTATTTCTCACGAAACGTATTGCATTAACACATGTTTTGCTATACACATGTTTATTCCCTTTGTGTGTATTGGGACAAAACAAAAAAAGGGAGGAAAGAAAGCAAATTCGACATAATGTCACACAAACCTCCAAAAATGGGCTGGACAAAAGTATTGGCACCCTTTCACAACTGCGGATAAATAAGAATACAAGCATGTGATGCTCCTGTAAACTCACCTGGGGCAAGTAACAGGTGTGGGCAATATAGAAATCACACCTGAAAGCAGATAAAAAGGAGAGACGTTCACTTAACCTTTGCATTGTGTGTCTGTCTGTGCCACACTAAGCATGGACAACAGAAAGAGGAGACGAGAACTGTCTGAGGACCTGAGAACCAAAATTGTGGCAAAATATCAACAATCAAGGTTAAAAGTCCATCTCCAGAGAACTAGATTTGCCTTTGTCCACAGTGCGCAACATTATCAAGAAGTTTGCAACCCATGGCACTGTAGCTAATCTCCCTGGCGTGGACGGATGAGGAAAATTGATGAAAGATTGCAACGCAGAATAGTCCGGATGGTGGATAAGCAGCCCCAAACATGTTCCAAAGACATTCAAGCTGTCCTGCAGGCTCAGGGAGCATCAGTGTCAGCGCGAACTATCCGTCGACATTTAAATGAAATGAAACGCTATGGCAGGAGACCCAGGAGGACCCCACTGCTGACACAGAGACATAAAAAAGCAAGACTACAGTTTGCCAAAATGTACTTGAGTAAGCCAAAATGGGAAAACGTCTTGTGGACAGATGAGACCAAGATAGAGCTTTTCGGTAAAGCACATCATTCTACTGTTTACCGAAAACGGAATGAGGCCTACAAAGAACAAAAACACAGTACCTACGGTAAAATATGGTGGAGGTTCAATGATGTTTTGGGGGTTGTTTTGCTGCCTCTGGCACTGGGTGCCTTGACTGTGTGCAAGGCATCATGAAATCTGAGGATTACCAAAGGATTTTGGGTCGCACTGTAGGGCCCAGTGTCAGAAAGCTGGGTTTGCGTCCAAGATCCTGGGTCTTCCAGCAGGACAATGACCCCAAACATACGTCAAAAAGCACTCAGAAATGGATGGCAAAGAAGCGCTAGGAGAGTTCTGAAGTGGCCAGCAATGAGCCCAGATCTAAATCCCATTGAACACCTGTGGAGAGATCTTAAAATTGCTGTTGGGAAAAGGTGTCCTTCCAATAAGAGAGACCTGGAGCTGTTTGCAAAGGAAGAGTGGTCCAAAATTCCGGGTGAGAGGTGTCAGAAGCTTATTGATGGTTATATGAAGCGACTGATTTCAGTTATGTTTTCCAAAGGGTGTGCAACCAAATATTAAGTTAAGGGTGCCAATACTTTTGTCCAGCCCATTTTTGGGGTTTTGTGTGACATTATGTCATATTTGCTTTTCTGCCTCTGTTTTATATTTGTTCCAATACATACAAAGGGAATAAACATGTGTATAGCAAAACATGTGTTAATGCAATACCTTTTTTGTGTGAAATACTTGATTTTCAGGAAAAATATCAAGGGTGTGAACAATTTCGGCCATGACTGTATATGTAAAGCGCTGCGTAAATTGACGGCGCTATATAAGTGAAATAATAAATAAATTTGTTGCAGAGAGATGAAAATACTTCCTTCTGATGGGGCACGCTGTAGGCTACATCGGCATATAAAAACTATATTTGTGGCCTATGTAGAATGCCAGGAAAAATGCAGAAAAATGGTTATGGGGAGCTGGAGTGCGATAGCGGAACAGTGATTGGTACTGTCGCGATCGGACTGATGGGCTGGTGTCGGAAATTCAATCCCCGACTTGGTGATTCAAGCCAGTCTTGGTCCAATTGACTTTGGGCAGGTCAGCACCCAGAACATCCTGTGGGCGGGTACAGGAACACCCCCCCAGAGGCAATTGGCCCAGGACTCATGTCCAGCCCACGTCCATATTCCCATAAATTGAGGACTGGAGATGACATTGTGATTCATATGGAGCCAGTTCAATTTGACTGACGGATTGCTGACTCTCCCTGACTTGCTCCAGTTGCAGGGTAAATCTTGGTAAAAGTTTTATCTGTTTTTTATTCCCTTTTATTTTATAATGAATAGTCAATGTGTGTCTTCTTGTATTTTCTGTAACTTTTTATACTTTGTACACATTTTATGCACTGCCCACTTTTGGGATATTAAATCTTAAAATTAATAAGTGACTTCTGGGTATTTAAGCGGGCTCATATTTCCAGAGAGATTAGATTGTATTGTATTTTAGTGCCTTTATATGCTTGGTCAAGCTCATTGCCAATCTGCATGCAATTGCACTGCGTGTTGGCAGATTGTAAAGGTAACAGAGCTGCCAGACGGAGATTTGTGTGTGTATGGTGCCCCAACAGACTGTTCTGCGGATAAACTGTTGGGTGGTGGCAGGCTACCGTTTGTGGTGTGTCTGGTGTGGGGTTGTGTGGACAGTGGAAGAGTGATTAACACCAGGATTCTGGTTTGTAGGATAGCTGGAGGGATCCTAGAAGGGTGTGTGATTGCTAAGCTGCTCCTCAACTCTAATTAGTGCACCAGATTGTATATGAGATTTGTATCTGCCAGTGTGTGTGGTCAGCCATCTGGATTGGAGTGAAGACTCCCTCCGGTGGTGGCCAAGAGGTAGTGCGGGCTGTGAAAGTGTATCACGGCCGGTCTTATATACTGTTTTATATATTCAAAGTTAAGTCCCTCTTACCCCAAGTCACGGCCGCACGTGCGCACCTCGGTTAGCTAGTCGCTGTGGGCGTGGCATGTGGGTGAATCCGTGACAGAGGGCTACATTAGATTACTGGTGATTTAATAAAGGCATAGTAAAGAAACAATGATTAACACTGCAATTGATTTATGTGCAATAAGTCTGCTCTGAATTTTGTTTTTTTAACTGCTTGCCATCTGGGGCAATTCGTACATTTTTCACATACATTTAAAACCAGCATTTGTTGCTGGAAAATTACTTAGAACCCCCAACATTATATATCTTCTGAAAGCAGAGGTCCTGGAGAATATCATGCTGGCTGTTGCATTTTTTTTTTTTTTTTTTTTTATGTGAAACAATATTTGCACACATTTATCAAATGCAAATTTTCAGGAAGAAAACCATCATTAGGTTCATCCATTAGATTCAGATGCCTCCACTGTTAGGCCGGTCTCTTAGATCCCATATCAGCATATTTACAATGTACCATTGGTCCCTGGAAACCAGGAACGAGGATCTAATGGTACAGGCAGATAGTGGTGATCTCAAGGTTCTAAAGGGTATGGCTTAATGGTGGTGGTTTCTGTTTACTAATAGTAGAGCCCAATGGTGGTGATCTCAGGGAACCTACCTGATCAGTCTGGATTCCCCTCCGTCTGTCCCATCCCCTGTCCCCACCATAAAAAAAATGAGACTGAGAAAAGAGAAAATTCCTGAGCAGGAATAAAGAAAATGTGCAGATTTCAGACTTTTATTGAGATTTCTTGAATTCTTCCATTACTATCGTGGAGTTATTTGTATGGATGGTTTAATGCAACTAGAAGCATTCACCACCACAATAGACATATATGAGTACAGAGTCACTGCGCACACACAGACAGGATCCGGGAACAGTCACAGGAGAGGAAGAGGAGTGAACACGTCTAGTATGTAGAATAATGTCTAGATCAGCAGGACACGCAGGTGATGGATGGGGAAAAGACATCAAGATAAGGGGACAGGGGAGACAGGACACCGCTAGAAATAAGGAAAATGGTCAAATCTACGCAAAGATAACCCCTAACTGTCAACGTTTCTTTCCCACGACGACAACATCTCATACCATAATTCTACATGTCACCATTGACAACCAATATTAACGTTTGAGCTTCCAAATACACCAAACCTAACCAACTATGTCCTTCAACACACTGGACTTGTAGAGTCTGCCTTCCCTCCTGACAATCCTGTCCATTGAGGACTAAGAAACTATCCATTCATAGTGTTATCTGAAGATTTCCAGATCCTAGCTCTAGATTATCAACAGATCTCAACTTTCTGTTATCATCTAAAGATCTCTCAATCCCAGTTTCCCACTATATATTTTTGATCCATGCTATACATGATTCAAAGAACATCCTTGGATCTTATCTGGTAAAATCCCTAGATCTCAGCCTTACAGTTTTTATCTGGAGATCACCAAGTCTCAATTCCACAGTTTCATATTGTGACCTGTGGACCCTAACCATAAAGTATAAAATGTATGGCCGCAATGTTTACGTGCCATCAACAGATCTCCAGCTGACTTCCACCTCACCCAGCAATCTGTCCATGGGCTTTGAGAACTTGAAATGAATCTCACCAAAGCCAACAATCTGCTGCCCTAATTCTCCACCTCTACAGAGAGGTCTTCTGCAGCACGGGTTGACTACCACATCTTTCCCTCCATATAAATCTCATCCACCACTTACCCCACACTCATCTGCTCTTACCCCTGTTAATTCCAATCACAAGGGGAACTAAGAGACAACACACCAGATGAACTACAGTCACTCTGGTTTTTGGATCCCCAAGAAACGCCAGACGCTGTTTAGAGGGGGAGGGGTGCAGGAAGCAGAACTTGTAAAGAAGAGATGGGTAATGAATGGGGAAGAGGGGAACTTGGGAAAGAAGGTGCTGGTTGCAACTCTTCAGCAGGACACTTCCATGGTGTGGTTGATCTGCCCAATCCCCTCGCTGCTTTCTGACTGGGTGCAGGGCCGTGGGCGTCCTCCATCCACAGAACTGGCGCTGGTGAGAGAAGCTGTGCGGGAACGGGCGAGTCGGGTCATGCTGGCAGAGGGCACTGAAGGCATAGAGAAGGGAGAACAGGACACATATTACTACAGAGGCTGAAAATTAACATCTGCTGCCTAACAGGAGCTCCAGCAGCAGCTAAATGGTTAACACCCTTAAAATGAGCTTCCTGGAACATGGCCGAGATTTAACCCTTTCATGCAGTAGTGTAGCAGTAGCCTGAGGTTCTACAGGAACTTGCCAACCAGGACATGCCAACCAGAATAATACGCCCCCTGGGAGGAAGGAGTGCCATGGGCCCCCTGAAGAAAGGAATGCCATGGCCTTCCCCACCCCAAAATTTAACACCAAGGCCGGGGATTGGCGACAACCCTGCTATTATGAAAATTAATGTTCTAGAAAGCAGGCATAGAGTACCCGTCTCCACCCTAACAGTGGCAGCTGCATGTAGTGATGACAGAGGTAAGGACAGATACCCCAGACTCTGGCAGTAATGGGACAAATAAATGGGACGAGTCAATGGTAACTGAGTCTCACTTTTGTTAGAGAGGGGCCCATAAGGCAGAGCTACTCCCTGGTAGTACTGTGACTCAGAGGGATAAGCTGGAGTTACAGCATCCTCTATCAGGGAGGTAGGCACAGCAGCCATGGGGTTGGGGGGAGTTACAGCACTGGGAACATGCAGCATTGACAGCAAATCTGACAGCAGAGCAGTGATAGGGAACATCGGGTACCTGCACTGGCACTCTGTCTCCGATCCTTCAGGGAAGCAACTGAGGGAGAAAGACGTGGAGGGAGAGAGGGGCGCACACAGGGCAGTTATGAGGAAAGGTGGAGGAGACACAGAAATGTCACATTAACACATTAGATACAAATATTCAGAGAGACAGACATAGTACACTGCGCACAGGGTAAGCAAACACTTAAACATGGCGGGGGGACCAAGGGATGGAGTGGGGTGACACACAACCAACGTTACACACTAAAAGAGACTGTGGTAGACATTTAAGAATGTGATGGGGGGGTGTGAAGCCGGGACACACATACATGCGTACACATACACTCTTAACACAATTAGCCAAGGTGTACCCCCATCTGGCAGACACACAGCCAACCAAAATAACCAGCAGATAAATGGCGCACACCATTGGATACACACCATCGGGCACACATCACTGGATACTCACCATCAGGCATACACCATTGGATACCCACCATCAAGCAAACACCACTGAATAGCTAACATCAGGCATCCCCACTGGATACCCACCATCAGGCACTTCTCATCTGATACCCACCATCAGGGACTCCCCACTGGATACTAGCCATCAGGCACTCACCAATGGATACATGCCATCAAGCACACATTATTGGATACCCACCATTAGGCACACGCTACTGGATACCTGCCACTGGGCAAACATAATTGGATGACACCCTCAGGCAATCCCCATTGGATACCCACCATCAGGTACTCACTATTGGAAACCAAACCATCAGGCACTCACCATTGGAAATCCATCATTAGGCGCACACCATTAGATACCCACTATCAGGCATTCCCCTTTGGATACCCACCAGCAGGGACTAACCACTGGATACTTTCCATCAGGCACAAGCAATTGGATACCTGCCGTCACGTTCATACAATCAGATACCTGCCATCAGGCACTCACCATTAAATACCCACCACCAAGCACACACTATTGGATACCCACCGCTGGCCACACACCACTGGATACCTGCCATCGGGCACACAACATTGGATACCCATAATTGAGCACTCTGCCATATGAGCTCTGATACCTCCAAATGATCCAGTAAAACTGTACTTACTGTATCCCATTCCTTGGAGGAAATATTTGAAGGCTTCTGTCAGTTTTCCGGGCTGTGCAAAAGAAGAAATTATGTTACTACACTTCATATTAGCGACCTCTCCATACCCTCTCCATACCAGGGAAACCCTCCCACAATCTTGTTTGTATCTCGTACCATTCCTTTTGTCCCAAGATCTCACATGACAGTCTAGGTATGAATGGTTATTCACCCAGCACACATAGGGTTAATGAATGATATATAAAATGGCTATTGTTACCTGTGTCACTTGAGGAAGTCCGCCAGAATCGGCCATCTGTGGGGGAAGAAGGGGCAGCTAGTGAATAAATTAATATATTTACATAAGAAATGCAGCTCAGATGAAAAGTAAAATATTGGTAAAAAAGTGATGAACACAGACACCACCCTGAGCATGAGGAACCAAAAATCCCATCTTCAGCTCACCTCACCTGCTGCTATTGTGGTAAAATAGAAGCAGAACAATACTGAGGAGAACCCAGAATGGTCATACCAATCAGGTAGAGGTGAGAAGGATGACTTGAGGGGTTAAGGATTCCAGGGAAGGGGTTAGGGTAAATGTAGCAGGGTAGTACAGAGTAACTGGAAAAGAAGGGGTGGGAAAGATTGAAGAGAGATTGAGGGTGGGATGGTTGGGTGGAATGGCTTTGGGTGATACTGTGGGACTGGAAGCCATGGGTAAGTGTAGGGGACGAAAGGTTGGAGGTGGGTGAGGCCAGAGTTTGGATAAGGTTGAGGAGGTTGGAGTGGGATGATACTGTGAAATAGAAGCTATGGGGAAAAGTGGTGGTGGAATGGTTAGAAGAGGATCACCTTCTGGTTCAGGATGAGGGTAGAATGGTTGAAGAATGGTATGAATGAGGAATTGGAAGCAATAGGGAAAGTGAGGACAGAAAGGTTGGAGTAGGTTAATACTGAAGTTTGGAATGGTTAGAGAAGGGTGATACTGAGGGATTGGAGGCTACAGGGGAAAGTAGAGGTGAAACGGTTAGAGAAGGGTGATACTATAGGTTGGGATGGTTGAAGGTAGGTGACACTGAGGGACTGGAGGTGATGGGGGGAGGACAGAGGTGGAAAGTTTAGAAAAGGGTGACCATGAAGGTTGTAATGGCTGGAGAATGGTGACACTGCAGGATTGGAGGTTATAGCAGCGGGTGGAGGTGGAAAGATAGGAGGAGCGTGATAGTGAAGGTTAGGATGGGTGAAGAAAAGTGATACTGAAATATGGAGGGTATAAGGAAGGGTGGAGGTAGGAAGGTTGGAGAAGGGTAAGGTCATGGGTGGAGATGAGGCTGGTAAGGTTGGAATGAGATAAAACAGTTTCAGTCACCTTCAGGAATGTGGTGTTTGTTGGGTCAAGTTTAGAATTACATTCAACCTGTTGGAGAAAAACACACAATAAGATCTCTCCATCAATACAATTTATAAAGAGAATAATTCTCTGGCAGCAGACACTGGAACGAAGCCAGGAACAGCAGGGTGCAAGACATCAGCATTCAATAGGGAAGGGACATGCAGCCAACACTGATGAGCCGTTATCATGATGTAACATCCTCACAACGGAGAGTGACAACCATCATTCCTACAGTGCTTCTCATCATTGTGGAGGATGCACAGACTCCACAAATAGCAATACTCTATAATTTTTGTTTCTGCATTCATCTGATCCAGACATCTAAAGTACATACAGCCTACTCAGGGATCTATTAACCCACCATACCCATTAGTCTGGTTTATCACTGAGGATCTTGTAATCAACTACAAAGGGCCTGACCAATCTCTAGGAAACTCGTAACGGATTGCACAATGGGTCTATACATATACAGTACTAGGGATCTAGTAATCTATTACACGATGGGTCTGACCAGTCACTAGGGATCTAGTACACTATAATACACTAGGTCCAACCAAACCCATGGGATCTAGTGTTCTACAATATGCTGGGTCTGACCAATCACATGGTACTCTAGCTAATGAAAAAAAACCCTGTGCACAGGGTTTTAGCAATCCACTACACAATTGGTTTGACCTATGACTGGGGATCTGGCAATCTTCTACACATAGGCCTACCTGCAGGTAATCTGCTGGATCATTCAGTGTACGAGCAGAGACACATTTGTAATGGTACAATTTAATCCTACGTCTATGGACATGCAGATGTAGTACCATATAGAAGAATTAATCGGATGATAGAAGAGTACAGAACTGACCACACTGTCTTCAGCTGGGGAATTATCTCCAACCACCAGCATGACCGGAGCCCTGAGAGAGAGGAGAGGGTAGAGAAAGGGACAGGGGGTTGTGGTGGTCAGAGATAGGGTGAGTGAAGGATGGCGGGGTCAGAGATGGGAAGAAAGTTGAATGTGGGGGTCAGAGAGGAGGAGAGTGGAGGATGGAGGTTGTGTAGGATTGGGGTTCAGAGGAAGGGTGAGTGGAGGATGATGGTGGTGGGGGTCAGAGAGTGGTTAAGTGGAGGATGGTGGTAGGATGGGGTCAGATATAGGGAGAATGGAGGGTGGGGGTCAGAGATGGTCCGAGAAGGGAAGACCAGTGAATGGGAGGTCAGAGTTGAGAAGCATGGAGAATTGGGGGTCAGGGATGGGGAGAGTGCAGAATGGGAGGTCAGATATGAGCAGAGTGCAGGATGGAGGAGAGTCAGAGATGGGTGGAGGGAATTAGAGATTGGGAGGGGGTGGAAATAAAAGGATCAGAGATGGGGATGAAGGACAGAAGGCAGAGGAGTGGGGAGACAGAAGCAGAGAGAAGTAAGCAGCGGGAAGAGCACATGTCAGTAACAGGACACATATGAAGGATATAACAGAGGCAATGGAGATGGACTGACAGTACAATTCACTGATATGGGAACAGCGAGGAGACTGGCAGATGTAATCACGGATCATATGACCACTGCAGGGCACAGATGACATATGACCTCCAGTATGGCAGTAATGTGAGGATACACAGACGCTCCCATACTGATTGGTTTCCTGCATGCCACACAGCTGCCACATGAAACACATGTACATCCACGATGTCCCTTACCTCAAAGTCTTGGCATTCGGTACAGTTCCTGGGCGGTTCATCTCCAGGTCTCTTCGGCTGCAGAGTAACAAGACACGTCATTGTTAGACATTATAGAAACCTCTTTCATGTGTGACAATATACAGCACGTGGAGTACATATTGCAGCATCAGACATGATGGTAAGCACAGCGATAGACAGGCGACTCCTACCTGTTGTACATGTTCCAGAAAAGCTGTAGGTTGTTCTGGTTGACGCAGCTGCTGATCTGCTGGCGGTAATTCTGCACCAGCTCTGTGTTGTTCATCAATTCCTCCTGGGGGAGGGAGACACAGAATGTTAACGCCGAGGGTCAGCACTGTCCGCCCTGGAACTGGTACGATGCTACTGCCAGAATGATCCATTTTGTAGCTGCATGCGATATTACAGTACAGCTCTATTAATATCTATAGATCTACACATAAAAGACGCCGATACTGCATTACACTACACTGCAGAGCTACAATTGTGAGCATCACTGGAAAGTATATATGGATCCTGTCCAATCACAAGCCAACTGTTAGCAGCATATATTGTAAGCTCCAAGGAGCAGGGCCCTCGAACCCCTCGTGTATCGCATTGTATTGTTATTGTACTGTCGCATGTTCTGTCTCCCATTGTAATGTACAGCGCTGAGCGAACTGTTGGCGCTTTATAAATATTGTATAATAATAATAATATAGCAGAACTATAACTTCTATAGGAACTAGAATGTCACTTCCCAATGCCGCCACTACCAACAGAAAAGTACCGCTCTACCATAGCACTACTGCTGCTGGGAGTCACACTGTCCTTTACAAGCTGCAAACCAAGAAGTGTCCACACTGGTAGCTGACACTTACTGTACAGAGAAGCCATAACCTGTGGTGTTTCCAGCAGCAGGAGGCATTATCAGTGCTGGGGTGAAAGCACGTGATCAGTACATGGTAACCATCACCACAGGATGTCTAGTATCATCACCACACCAGCAGGTAGTAGTAAGCCATGTTACCCTCACTGGCACTGATGTCCCTGCATGTCTAGCAGCCATTCTGTAACCTGGCACAGTACATAACTCTGTATGACCCTACCTGACTGAAGAGGTGAGACAGCACGGTGTCGGTGAGGGAGCTGGTCAGTCCAGACAGCTGAAGAGACACAAACAGTGTGAGGGCTAGGAAGGGGCACAGGAAAAGATCTAGTGTATGTCTCGGCCTGGCTTACCTTGGAGGCTGCCCAGTCAATCCAGCCTTTTCCATTGGGATCAATGTTCAGCAGAACCAAACCTTCCACCAGTTCTGGGAATATAAGCTGTGGGAAGAGAACAGGCTAAACATGGGCAGTAAAAATCCAACAACTGGTTATACCAAGAACTGTCTATGGAGGAAACCAGAATAGTCTTTTTCATACACTGTATACAGTGCATATTGTTCTTCAGTGTAACCATATCCTTAATATTTGGCCCAGGAGATGGTCACGTCTGTGGGGGTGGCGGAGAGAATTTCTTGCTGTGAAAAGGACTCCACTCTATACTGCCAGTTGTCCTCTCTGGTATTTTTCTGAAGTCTTTCTTTCTAAAAAGATCACCAGTTCTGTTTTAACTATTAAAAGTCACCTTTCTAGTTTTCCAGTCTGGTGGATCAGTTTTCAGCAGGATAATTTGGTAGCAGTTTTATTTTAGTATAATTACAGTATCAGCATGATAATGCAGTGTTCTTCCTGATAGTCACTAGGCTGAGCCATGAGGTCATAGAGATGGGTTTTAGCTTGTGTTATAGGAATGGGTTTAGTTTATGGATATAGGTGTGGATTAAGGTTTGGAATGTACAACAGATAGACTCAGGTTTTGGATGTAAGGATAGCTTCAGTTTTGGGTTATAGATATGGGTTCAGGTTTGGGTTATAGGGATGGGTTCAGGTTTGGGTTATAGGGATGGATTCAGGTTTGGAATATAAGGAGGCTTTTGGGTTTGGAGTATAGGAATGGATTTTGGTTTGAGATATATGGATGGTTTCAGGTTTGGGTTATAGAGATGGGCTTTGGTTTGGGATATAAGGGTGGGTTCAGGGTTTGGGTTATAGAAATGCATACAGGTTTGGGGTATAGAGATGGGCTCAGGTTTGGATTATAGAGATGGGTTCAGGTTTGGGTTATAGGAATGGATTTTGGTTTGGGATATAAGGATGGGTTCAAGTTTGGATTATAAACATGGGTTGAGGTTTGGGTTATAAGGATGGGTTCAGGTTTGGGATATAAGAATGGGTTCTGGTTTGGGTTATAAGGATGGGTTCAGGTTTGGGTTATAGGAATGGATTTTGGTTTGGGTTATAAAGATAGGTTCTGGTTTGGGTTGTGTGTATGGATTCAGGTTAGGGATGTAGGAATGAGTTCATGTTTAGGTTATAGAGATAGGTTCTGGTTAGGGTTATAAGGATGTATTCGAGCTTGGGTTAAAGGGATGGGTTCAGGTTTGGGTTATAGGAAAAGAATAGGTTAGGGTTATAGTGATGGTGTTCTACGCATAGTTTCAGGTTACAAAAATGGATTTATAACAGGGTTATAAGGATGGGTTAGAGTTGTAGAGATCGGTCCAGATTAGGATTATGCAGAAATGTTCATGTTCGGGTTATAGAGATGAGGGTTTGGATTAGAGTTATAGGAATGGATTAAGGTTAGGGTTAAAAGGATGGATTCAGGCTAGGGATTCAGGGAAAGGTTTAGGTTAGGGTTATAGAAATGGGTTAAGTTATGTTTATAGGGATAGGTTCAGGTTAGGGTTGGGGAAAGGGCTTGGGAGGCTCAGTTTTGGGTTATATAGATGGGCTATGCTTAAATTAGCATTATGGGAATGGGTTTAGGTTAAGGTTGTAGGCATAGTTTCAAGTTTGGGGGTTAGAGAAATGGGTTCAGGTTAGGATTAGAGAAATGGGTACAGGTTAGGGTTATAGAGATGGGTTATGGAGATGGGTTCAGGGTATGTTTTTTAGGGATTCGTTCAGGCTAGGGTTATAGGGATGGATTTAAAATCGGGTTAAGTGGATGGTTTTAGGATGAGATTAAAAGAACAGTATCAGGTTAGAGCTGTAGTAATGGATTTAGGTTACATTTGTAGGGGTGGGTTCAGGTAAAATTAATAGAAATTAGTTCATGTTATGGTTGAAGGGGCAGGCTCTGGTTAGGTTTATAGGCATTAATTCAGGTTAGGGTTAAAGCATTAGGGTTCAGGTTAGGGATGGTTTCTGGTTAGGGTTATAGGGATAAGTTATAGATATAAAGATGGTTTCAGATGAAAGGAAAGGGTTCAGGTTTTAAGGACAGGTTTGGGTGATAGGGATGGGTTCAGGTTGGTTATTGGGAATTTAGGTACAAAACCTTTAGGACAAGAAGTCATGTGAGCTGGTTCAGGTCACATGGTCTCCTAGTTTAGGCTCTGAATATGAACAAGGGTGACGTGTGATATAGGGCAGGGATGTGGCACATGTACCCGAAGGGTCTGCAGTTTTCCTACATACTTTGTCAACTTACAGCAAACTTAGCCAGGACATACGACCCAGCGCCCACTCCAATGCCAATGATGCTCTGAAAGCTGCAGGACAGAGAAAGGATTTGTCTGTAATCACATGAACAAATGTACTCGTTCTGCACAGCAAACAGTCTAGTTCACATAGAGCATTAACTTACACATGTGAACCCACAAAGACAATTCATGAGTCTCACCCAAAGTGCTGCAGCACGCTCGGTAACATGCCGGCCAGGTTTTCCATGGTGGGGTACTGATACCTGTGAGAAGAGAGGCATTTATAGTATACGGCTTATAGCAGAACCCCTGGCACTGTAGAAGGTTTGTACTACATACCCTTGTGGGAACTGGGAGGCTCCCACCTGCTGCCCTGGGGCATCTACGTGACACACAACAAAATGCTTTGTGATCTCCTGCATGTCCTCATAATTGAACAAGGTATTGAAGCAGAGCTTATCTGAAAGAAAGGAAGAGCAGGACATTGACTATCAATAACCTGGAAGAGCAGAGGAAGGTGCATCACCAATAAACATCCCATACAACTGTCGCTAGCTGGCGAATTCATTTTTCAACAGTGACAGATGATTAGAAAAGCCTATCTTTGCTCTTTGCAGTGTGTTTTACAGTCTGCATTCCATATACATGGTGCACATACAGTACACACTAGACAGTATAAACCCCCAACCCCACCTCCCTCATCGCACCACACACAGAAATGAGCAGAAACTCCTGTCTGCACCACAATTACTGAAAGCATCATCCAAGCAGTGGCAATACTTACGGTTTAAGCCCACATCATGGTATGTGAGAATTGCCGGGCGATTGCCTTTTGGGGTGCCCCTGATGACGACATGCAGCATGCCATAGGGCGTCTCAATGTCATGTTCCTACAAAAGAGAAAGAGGAAATTTATGGTCGCTGAAAATATGGAGTATAAATCCACCTACTGTCTCCACACCCTCCTGCAAGAACCCCCAGAACCTCCATGCAAAGTCTCCACAACCTAAGCCCAGAGCCTCCACCATAAACGTAGAGCCTCCACACCCTCCTCTCAGAGCTTCCATACCCACAACATGACACAGGACAGAAAAACTTGACATATGACAACTGGATACAGAATAGGTCAACCTGATAAATGATACAAATGAGCAAAGGAAATCTGAAATGTGCAAAGGGCAACCTGATACAGGACAACTGGACACTGGAATGGATTAACTGACATGGGACAGGACAACCTGACAAGAGATAGGACAGGACACCTGGGCACAGGGCAGGAGAACTGGGAAAAGACAGGGCAATCAGACATAAGACAACTGCATACACCCTCTGAGGAAGCCCTGTGATAATGGCGAAACACGTAAAGAGCGGAGCCAGTGATGTCACTATGTTCCATACTGGAAGTATGGTTGTTTGTTCAGAGCATGGATGTATCCATTTTTTATGTAGTGCACCAGATTTGTGCACAGCATATTGTGGGTGCTATAGTAATATTTCATAAAATTGGGATAATTTTGAAGCGGAAAACCACCGGATTGTCTTAATTTTCTTTTTGAGCACCTATTGAGGAGTAGTAAAAAGTGCACTATTTACAATATGAAAAGGAGGAAAATTCATAGCACTTGCTGGAGTGGGGGAGAACAAGGAGAAATGAAGGTGCATGATTCCACCAGGAGTTTTCAGATTAAGAAAAACAGAGCAAATAAACCCTTTTAAAGGGGAAGGCGAAAGTTGACCCATCACAATTATAGGTCATAAAAGAAGGTGAGAAATGGTGGAGGAACACATGGGAAAATCACATTTTATGAATGGTGTGCAGCATAAGATAACTGGATTTTTTTCTACATACTTACCTGTAAAATCCATTTCTTGGAGTACATAATGGGACACAGAGCAGGTCATAATAATTACTATGTGTGTTATATTCCACCTATAGGTGAATGGACACTGGCCGACCAATCAGAGAGCAAGTCCTGCCCTATATAGCCCCTCCTAAACAGGAAGTACTTGAGTTTTTGTAGAAATCATTGACAAGAGGGGCAGGAACTCTGTGTCCCGTGATGTACTCTAAGGAATGGATTTTACAGGTAAGTATATAGAAAAAAATCCAGTTTTTTTTATTGTACATCACAGGACACAGAGCAGGCCATAATGACTATGTGGGGCATGCCATAGCAATAAAACTTGAGGGATGGGTGACATCACAATAACCACCGCCAACATTCCAAAAGGAGCTACTAAAGCTGTTCGCAAAACACTACGGCCAAAGGCAGAATTCTCCGTGGCTGTGACAACCACCTGGTAAAACATTGTGAATGTATGAACTGAAGACCATGTATCAGCCTTGCAAACCTGAGCAACCGACGCCTGGTGGAGGATAGCCCAAGATGCCCCCACACTCCTGGTACAGTGTGCTCTCACCAGAAAGGGTAAGACTTCAAACCATAGGCCTGAATGATTAACTGGCAGATCCAATGAAAAAGAGATGACCTGGATGTCCCTACCCTTTCTAGGCCTATCTGGCAGCACAAACCAGGATTCCTGACCTGTGCTGCCAACTCAAGCAAATCCTGACCACTTGAACTAAATCCAGAGTATGCAGTGCTCTTTCCCATGCCGACTGTGAACTAGGAAAAAAATAAAAAGGCAAGACACTGTCCTGATTTAAGTGAAAACCAAAAAAGCATTCTAGGCAGGAAGATGGATGGGGACGCAACATCACCCTATCATGTGCCAAGAATGGCTCCTTACAAGCAATGGCCGCCAGCTTTGACACTCCTCCTGCCGAAGTGATAGCAATCAAAGAACTCACCTTTTGAAACAAAGGATTACGTTTCTTTAATTGGTTCCAAAGGCGGCCTGTGCAAGGACAGCCAAAGTCACAAGAACACAAGGGTGGCCTGACAGGCGGGACCATCAGTGTTACACCCTGTGCAAAGTTCAATCCAGGAGTGAGAACAACGGACTCTGGGATAAAATGGATAAAGATCAAATCTGACCCTAAATGTTGCTCAAGGTACATTTAATTTCCCCTCTCGATTGGAAAAAGGATAAAAAAAAACTTACAATCACCCACTTCCGTGGGTGCCACTTCCTGGCCTCCCACCAGGCAAATTAAGATTTCCAAGTCCTGTAATGGAAGTGACCTGACGCCGAATTTCTAGCACTCAAAAACGCAGAGAAAACAGGACCCAAGACCCCCCCGATCTTAACAGAATTGGGCTTAAAAAGCCAAGCCTCCAACCCTAGCTATCATATACAGGATACAATATTGGACCCAAGACAATAGGTCTGGGTGGACTGGAGTGTCCAAGAAGTGTCCCTGCCAGATTCACTATGTCGGCGCATCAAGCCCTCCTGGGCTAGGCTGGGCTACCACTACTATTAGCTTTACCTCCTCCTGGACCGTGCACAAAAGACACGGCAATAGTTGAATCGTGGGAAAGCATAGATTAGGGGGAACTGGTCCCTAAGGTGTTACCAGTGGGACTCTCGACATGGGCACAACCTGTCTAACCTGTTGCAGAACCTGGAAGTCAGTGGATCCACATCCAGAGTTCCCCAACGCTGGCAGATTGCCAAGAATGTCTCGGGATGCAGGGACCATTCTCCCAGTATCAGCCGCTGACCTCTGGGGGAAAAAAACCCGGCCAGTTTCCTATACCTGGAATATGTACTGCCAACAGAGAGCACATGTTGTACTGCCCCAGAGAGAATGTGTTTCACCTTTTCCTGAACCATATGATTCCTGGTGCTGCACTGGTGGTTGATATATGCCACAGCCATGGCATTGTTGGACTGAACCCTGACCACAACCTGTGCAATGGGTTTGTTCAATCATCCAGCGCAAGGCATACTGTCTGAAGTTCCAAACGCTCATGGGCAGTATTCTCTCCTGTGGAGACAAATATCCCCTGAACTGTAGTCACCTTTAAATAAGCCCCCTAACCAGAGAGACTGGCATCAATGGTTACTATTTTCCAAACCACTAATTAGGACTCTGCAATACCCTGGGGACAAAGCCTTCCAGTAATCCAATGCTTGGACCTTCATTATCCAGACGTATAGAATGTTCCTCAACAAAAGACGTGGAGTGGAATCGCACAAAAGAAAACCGCTTCAATGTAGATATCATTTCCAGAGATGCAGAGATGTACCGAAGGATACTTATCGCTTCTTACATTTTGCTTTAAACTTGAAACGGACTGCTCCCCAAGGAAAGGCACATGAAGGTATTGTGAGAATGACACCACCCTGTGTCCTCAGCAAGCCCAGCACCAGGGCTAGGAGCTTTACAAACACACGAGAGTTGTGGCTAGCCCAAAGGATAGTGCCCCACAACAATAAAATGGCGGTTCTCTATAGCAATCACAGAACCCCTGATAAGCCTAAAAAAATTGGCATAGGAAGATATACATCATTAAGAACTATCTACACCCCAAATCTATCCTCTTGCAGAGCAGCCACCACTGATCGGACTGATCCCCATCTGAAACAGAAGGACGTCTAGACTTATGTCTAGTGCCTTGAGATGTAAGATAGACCTCACGCTCTGTTTGGTTTAGGGCCTGCGAACTGAGTGTTGAGTGTCTCAAATGACCTCAGAGACTGCCCTAGCATCTTCTGCCCGAGATAATTTTCAAAACACAGCCGTCTCAGACTCTGGGGGGGAAAAACTTACAACACCTGGTAACCCCAGACAGTCTCCCCTCCAAGTAGTAACCAGGGCTTGACCCTGATTAGATTCCGAGTTCAGACGATATCAGGGGTATACAGAGTAATGCGGCCGCAGTCCATTGCAGCTCCGCCACCAGGAATAGCTGCAATGCCAGGCAAACACTGTGGCCCAGATACCTCTGACACCACTAGTTTATTGTGAAATGAGAACACCATCAGATTACCCCCTCCCCGCCGAGTCCACTAGACCTGAGGGTGGTCCACCAGCCTCTCTTTTGGGACCCTTTAAGTAAAAAGAGGCAGCAACTATATTGTCGCCTAACTATGCAGTCCCGCAGGGATGTATGTCCATAGCCATCTTGGTCTACAGTTATGCAATCAAACAGGCACCACCAGGAGAATGACCAAACAGTGAGATTTTTCAAAGAAATACTGCAAATGTAAACTTACCATTCCCCCTGCAGGACCTTGAATCATAGCAGAAGTCCAACTTTCACCCATCACAATGGGCTTTGTCATGCAGACCTTCAAGGACTCAGTCCCTATATTGTGAGGCCACTACCTTGGACCTGTACAGCACCCTGCTGGAAAGCGCCTTGGTCAGTATTATACTGCACAGGGTTCCATTATGCAGAATCCAGCACCGTAAGGCTGCATTACAGGCAATATTGTGGGGATTCTGCTCATCCAGCGAGGCTTGGGTACTATCCATTTTGGCTAACAGCTTTCTGAATGGATCCAATTAAAGTCCCTGATTCTACAATGTAACCGTTCTGGACTTTCAGGTATGCTCATGAAACACTTCAGTGACTGTCCCCCTTACAGACACTGGCGAAAAAAATGAAGTACTTCCTGTGTAGGAGAGGTTATATAGGGGGGGGACTTCCTCTCTGATTGGTTGGCCAGTGTCCATTCACCTATAGATGTCCATTCACCTATAGGTGACATATAACCCACAGTTATTATTATGGCCTGCTCTATGTCCTGTGATGTCCGATAAGGAAAATAAATATGAGGACTATTACAATTACAATGAGTGTTGATATTATATATCTTAAGTTTATAATATGTAAAGATTTTCCAACAGTTGATTTTTTTTTTTTTTGATCAGAGTTCCCTATTTGTATATTCTAGAGGTTTGCGGTATTGCTGCATTACACAATTTTATGTTTATGATGTGAGGTGTGTGGAACACTTGATAGTGGCAGCGACA